GTATAGTGACTTGTAGGTTTGAGGAGGAGATTTCCAAGTTTGCTCTTGAGTTTGATAGCAAACTGAGTGCAACGAATGTCAGTATGACATGGGTGCCCTGTGTCCTTACACCCTAGATGACCTAGGTGAATATAAGAATGCCTCTTAAGAGCCACTCTTACCCCTACCACTTGTACGCATGCCTATACAGTCTCAAGACCAACTGTTACTAGATTCTGACTCAATTCTCTTTGTAAAGGGTCTATACTCTCGTACTATTCTTGATAATGCACCTTTAAGAATATCATTTAAGTGCTTGTAGCCACATTGCACATATACACCATCACAACCTACAAAGATGTAGACAACGAGTAATCTTTAGAAGCATTTAAAGACACAACATCTAGCAATACATGCACAATATAAGAAAAAGCATATTTAATACAGAGATACACAGCCTTCTTCTCCAACTACAGCTACATTCTTCCAGCCTTGCAAAGTACCTAGCCATGCACTAAATTCGTCAAAGTTTAGAGAGCTTCTACTCTTATTTATTGCGCCAGAAGTATGCCACCAGATGTAGAACCCCTTGATTATCTTTTTGTGACAAGACTCCTGATGAGATGAAGTCTGAGGAATCTGCTTCGACATAGGCTGTCTTGTTTCTATCGAAATGCCTCAAGACAGGAGCTTCTGTGACTGTTTGTTTCAACAGCTCGAATGCAGTTTCGCATGCATGAGTCCATTCGAATATCTGATCCTTCCTAGTAAGGTTCACCAATGGCCTCATGATGCTGGAGTAATTTCGGATGAACCTTCGATAGAAGGTTCAACAAATGAAGGCTTGTATATCCCTGAGCGATTTTGGAGTTTGCCATTCCGATATAGTAGAAACCTTTGCAGGGTCCATGCGAATGCCATTGACTCCCACGATGAGTCCTAGGAATTTGGTTTCTTGGACGAAAAACTCACATTTTGAGATATCTGCTTGCAGTCCAGCTTCTTGAAGCTTCTGTAGGACTTTCCTTATGTGCTCTGTATGCTCTGCTCGAGTAGCACTGTAGATAAGAATGTCATCCATGTATGCGGTGATAAATTGGTTGAGGTAATCCATGAGGGTTTCATTCATATACCTCTGGAATGTTGCTAGACCATTTGTGAGTCCGAAGGGCATGACCTTGTATTTGTATGATCCAAATCAAGTTCTGAATGTAGTGAGGTCTTCATCTTCTGTCTGCATTCGAATTCGATTGAAGGCATGTCGAATGTCCAGTTTGGTCAGATATTTTGCTCCTATGACTTGGGCCAGTGTTTCATCAATGAGTGGTATGGGATATCGATCCTTTTTCGTTATGGCATTTAGCTTCCTGTAGTCGACACAGAATCGAAGACCACCACCTGGCTTTCTCACAAACATAATGGGTGAAGAGTATGGGGCTTTGCTTGCTTCAATGAACCCTTTTGGCAAGTGCTCGAAGACATATTCTTCAACCAAATCAAGTTCTTCCTTTGACATATTCCAGAGTGGTGCATATCCCAGCTTTGCATCACCTTCGAGTTCAATATGATGGTCTGAAGGTCGATGGGGAGGTAGCTTGTATGCTGCCATTTTCGAAAAAAACATCCAAAACTTCATGGAATTACTTCAGAAGGATCAGTCGAGGGTCAATTTCTTCAGTTTTGGTCTTGTTCTTGTGCTCGATTATGTCCTTCATTGATATAGCAAAGACTTGAGCTCCTTTTTGCTTTATGAGCATTCGAAATGGTGCTGCACCAATCATTGCTATGGTGCAAGGTTTTGGTTTTTCCACTTTCGGAGCAGGTTCCGGAGGAGGCATTTCTTTGGCTTTCTTCTTTGGCCTTTGTCTTTTGCTTTTCGATATAGGATCTGTTTCGAGGGCTCGATCTGGTATAGAATGGTTGCAATAATCTCCAGTGAAGAGGACTTGATTGTCATACTGACATTCGTTGCACTCAGTTTGCTATCAAACTCAAGAGCAAACTTGGAAATCTTCTCCTCAAACCTACAAGTCACTATACATATTTTGGCTTATCACACCAACAACAAGAGCAATACTACTCAACGATTGCTACAACCATCTATGATTCATTACACGTCATCGCTCCTTAGTTACTGGGCCGATATTACCACATAGCATATCTATACAACCCTCTATGATTCATTACATGACATCACTCATACTACCACATGACATATCTCTACCAACTAGAGGCCTAGGAGCATGAACGATAGCTCTAAAAGCTCTTACGAACCTCTATGATTCATTACATGTCATCGCTCTTTAGTTACCCACAAGATTGGTTAAGTTATGACATAATTTGTCTATAGGTACTCTGACCTTGGACCTCCTTTTCACTTCCTATAGGCTAGGGACACAAGAGATGGTTCTATGGGATTCTCTTATGTTTGCTACATGATTAGCAAGCTAGTTGTGGGTTGCACTTGATTTCTAATACATTTACCAAGCCTGGTTAGTCATGGAAAGTCATGGAAAATGAGAGAACTACACTCCTTTGGCATAAATAGGATTGCCCTTTCCTTAAGAAAGGGCACATACTTCCAGGTCTTTTTCAAGCTTCCAAGCATTGATCTTGTTATTCTTTCTTTGTTTCTGAAAAGTCAGTGAGGTGCTAACCTCTGACTTGCCCCTGAGTTCTCAGACTCAACATTTGTTACAACTTGTCTAAACCACTTCACTACATCATACACCTGATTGCTGCATTGTGGAATAGTCTAAGCTACAACCCTTTGGCTCTGTTTCATAAGACACTGTGTTGTCTTAGTAAAATCATCCCTTCCTTGGGTGGCTAGATTCTCACATCTGGTGCACCCACCATTACAGAAGTGCCTGGCCCTGATTTTGAGTTTGGCCCATGTTGTTCGAAAATGACTTTGGCTTCCTTTTGTCTTCTTGTTCCTTGATCCGCTGGATGTTCTGGTTGATGAGCATGCATTTCTTTGCAAACTCATGAAGTGTAGTAGCTCCAACTTCAGCCACTAAGGCTTTCTGCAGCTGTTGGTTTTCTTTGAAGCGCAAGTCATCTAGCAAGCAAAGTTTCTTCAGAGTAATCAAGCTCTGTCATGAGCCTTTGGAACTCGGCCCAGAACACTGCAAAGGTGTTATTTCTCTGATACAGCTTTTGATACTCAGTTTGAGCTGTGTGCCTTCGATCGGGATCACTGAAGACTTTTTCCAAAAGTTCGAAAATTTCTTCTGCTGTCTGCAGTTTGTTTGTAGAGTTTGGTCGTGTTACGATGGTCATGGAGGTCATGGTGCCAGTCCGGGTAAAGTAAGCTAGATTGAATCTAAAGAGAGAAGAAGAAGAAGAAGGAAGGAAGGTGAGGATATTCCTCGTAATATACAGTTGTCCGCTTAGCGGTTGTGCACCCATAATAACCATAACAAGCTGTGAGCTATAGCAAAATAGTCCCGAAGAATGTTCTTGTGCAAAGTCCATGCCATTTTCTGGTTAGCAACAGATATTTTCTGGAATTCATCAAAGGTTTCAACATTCCATTCACCCTTTTCATGTCAATTTGCAAGTATCGATTCACGTCTCTCTTGAGCTGTTTTGCCCAGAGTGTGAAGGAAGGTTTGGGATTCGAAATTAGGATCATGAAGTTCATCAGTTTGGTTTGCAGAGCTCAGAATTGATGCTCCTTCTGCCAGATTCCTGGTCTTGTTCTGGATCATTTCGAGCTGCCATTGCAGCTTTCTCTTCAGCTGTATAAGCCATAGTGAGTTGCTATTTCAATTTCAGTTTATATCATAAAGTCAGACGCATATTGCCAAAGACCCTATTGTGCAGTTGTCGGCTGTAGGAGCCACTCGAGAGGAGCGCACTTCCCTCACAGTTATATCCTTGTTGAGGGAGCATTGTAAAAGGTCTGACTTGTGAAGGTGGTGTGTGTGTGTCGAGCTGACTGTCGAGAGCCAACTTTGAGGGGTTGCCTCAAGATTGTTCCGAGTGGGAATGAGCACCGGTGAACATGTGTTAGTGCCAACAGCAGTAAAGAAGGTACGTTATATGTACTCATCTTACATTCTATTATTCTAATTTGTATAGCTTTATATACAAGCTCCAGAGAATTGTCAAAGTCTCACAGTAATAGAGACAATTTCAGCTGCTGGCATTGTACTTCCACCGTTCCTAATAATTCAAGGAAAGCTTCATATGGAAAGTTGGTACCATGATAATCTACACGGTGATGAGAGAGTTGCAGTATCAGATTCAGGATATACAAACTCTGAGCTCGCAATGGAATACCTACAGCATTTTATTCAACATTCTGCACCCTCTACAAAGACGAAGTTGCTTATAATGGACTCTCACATTTCTCATGAAGTTCCAGAATTTATAATACTTGCACATCAAAACAACATACATTTACATGTTATTCCCTTCTCACCTTACACATATACTACAACCTCTTGATGTTACAGTATTTGCACTGTATAAGCATTGGCACCGCCGTGCTATTCAACAAGCAATTCGGAATTTTGATGTTGACTATAATGTTATTTCATTCTTCCGAGACTTACCTACAATCTGAACACAAACGTTTACAAAGGGAAACTGTATGAAAGCATTTAGAGACTCTGGTATTTGGCCACCAAACTACGAGAAGATAGAAAAGAAAGTGGCAATATACGCAAAACCAGCACTTTTAGAAACAGCAAGGCAAGCAATCCAAGCAAGTCAAGATCTTTCAAATTGGAGTCAAAGATTTGAAGAGATTCTTAGTTCACCATCACGGCAAAAGTGGACATCTTCTTATACAGAGATTCAAGTACAGTTAACAGAAAGTACTTTGGTTACCTCAGAGCTTATGCAAATTACTACTATTATGTCTGAGCAAAGACAACGGAAAGTTAGAAGCAGAAAATCTATTCAAAAGGGTGGAGCTGTTACAGTTGAACAAGCACGGAAGAAGATTCATACGAAGATAGTAAAGGAGCAAGAGAGAGAAGAAGCAAGAGAGAGAAGAGAGAAAGCGCATGGTTAACCTTGAGTATAAGCTGCAGCTCCGTGCTGGCATTGATGCACAGAGAGCGGAACGGGTACGGAAAAGGGAATTACTTGAATTCCAAAGGAGTAACCCAGACACCGAGCTACCAAGGGAGTTACTCGAAGTAATCATAGACCCTGATATTGAGCGTAGGAGACAGAAGGAAGAGGAGGAGAAGGAGGAGCAGTTGCACCGGCAATTGGCCTCTGAAGAAAGTGGTTTTGTTGACTTTGCAGACCTTGACTACGACATGATCCACAGTGCAAGTGACAGTGTAAGTGATAATGAATCACTGCGCGACAATATAGATCCTAACCTATTTAATTAATCAATTATATCTACGTTCATTGCTGTTTGTTGTCCAGATAGTCGCGTTGTCCTGATGTCGCATTGGACGCGCTCGCGCTCGCGTTTGCCGAGAGAGCAAGGATCGCTTTCGCAGCAAGGATCGTTTTCGCCAACCGCCTCCAGGCGGTGGTTTGGAAACCAACGATTACTCCAACCTTGAGCGAAGCGAAAAGTTTGGTCACGACGATTAATGGTCAGTTTGTTGAATCTTATGTCGTTGCCTTAGTGTTTAAGGACGATATTGAGAATAAGCTTCTGATAGGCTCTATGCTAGAACTATCAGTGAAGCAAGCACCTAGATAACTGTTACATCGGTGCATGCGGCCTAGCCGGTTAGAGTCGCCGCCTTACCCTTGACAACGAGATGCCAACTACCTCAACTACATAAAAGTGGGTTATGTTTAACGATGCGTTGCATCCTTAAACATGATGCCACCCGTGAGCAGTGTGAGCTAGATGGGCGAGGAAGGTGAGACATGCAGTAAAGCTCATTTGATATATATACATCAAATGAGCTTTACTGCATGTCTCACCTTCCTCGCCCATCTAGCTCACACTGCTCACGGGTGGGCATCCAATGTCGCGACGCATAACACAACGCATCGTTAAACATAACCCACTTTTATGTAGTTGAGGTAGTTGGCATCTCGTGTCAAGGGTAAGGGCGGCGACGCTAACCCGCTAGGCATGCAGTAAAGCTCATTTGATGTATGTATACCAAATGAGCTTTACTGCATGTATCACCTTCCCTCGCCCATCTGACCTCGACTACGACGCGTTGCATAGTGATATTCGATGCCTACAGGTGAGTTGAGTGAGCGGACAAGCCATGAAGGAAGTGTAACTGCGTGGCTGCGCATCTAGTACTCATATCGCTCCGCACATAGTTTCTGTTTCATGTTGGACTTGTGAAGAGGAGAAACGTGTTACAGGTGATTATTGTCTTAACTCCTGTCTCTCCGGGTTCAGCGGTTATTGAGACAGTGTCATATATTATCTTAGGTGTTTATTGGCCCGACTCTCTACTGTGTCTCTCGGCAACGTCTATTTGTTACGACAGAGCCATAGCCGGTACTAGATTGTCTTTAACCCATTTTCTTCTACAGGTGTAGATATAAGGACTGCTCACGACCATGTATATTTTTGACCAATCGCATCACCTAGGAATCTTAGTTTTTTCATATCTCTGTTGTTGTGGGTTATTTTCGCTCTTCCCAGAGTAATACGTCGATATGAAGTTCCCCTTCTCGTCCATCTTCGACTCGGCAAATTTAATAGCTACTCTGTCGCAGGTCGCTACAAATGGTACTAATAGCGTTTAGACTTCTACAACTAAGATAATGGAGACTGATTATACTTTGTTTTCTAGGAGACTCTCTATTAGGCACGCTGTCTGCTCCTTACATGCCCAAATTTCTAGAGGACGGCGTAAGTCTCCCTCTCATGCTTTCGGCACTTTCTAATGGTTAGAAGCCCTTACCCTATGGATTTCCATGGGGCATGGCGACAACGAATCACACAGATCCCCGCCATGCTCCGAATACTGGAAAAATCCGCCCATATAATTTTGTCATTGAGCGCGGCACCCTAGCACCAGATGGCGTCCAAAAAAATGGTCTACTAATCAACGGACAATTTCCTGGTCCGACTATTGAAGCGAACTGGGGAGATACATTTCAGGTGAGATCATTGAGTTTAGTTGCAGCATCAAACTTACTAAATTAGATAGATTACAGTGACAAATAATATCACAAGTCCTGAAGAAGGAACCACTCTCCATTGGCATGGTCTGCATCAAGATCAGACACCTTGGTTTGATGGTATACCATCAGGTAATATTGCTAGTTTTTGATGCAAATCGCATTATATTAACGTAACTGATAGTTTCTCAATGTCCCATTGCACCGGGGAGCTCGTTCACATATACGTTTCAAGCCGGCCTTTATGGCACAAGCTGGTATCACTCTCACTACAGCGCTCAGTACGCAGACGGGCTTTTTGGGGCTATGATCATCCACGGACCTGCTCATACACATTATGATTATGACCTTGGACCCATACTTCTGGTACGTGATCGAAATCTTGCTCGGAAACAACTAGCTTACTTAACTAGTCTGACCATTACCACACGGGTTATTTCGAGCTCGTTAAGCGCTACATAGGAACTAGAGCTGTTCCAAATTCAGACAACAATCTCATTAATGGCAAGATGGATTATGACTGCTCTCTCACGAAAACAAATTGTACGCCTAATGCTAGATTATCAAGATTCAAATTGGTGTCTGGAAAGGTACACCGACTACGTCTTATTAACTCTGGATCAGAGGCAATCCAGAGATTTACTATCGATGGCCACACCATGACAGTAATTGCTAACGACTACGTGCCTATTGAACCTTATGAAACAGATGTTATCACGCTTGGAGTTGGGCAGCGTAGTGACGTTCTCGTTAGAGGAACGGGCCGCCCTACAGAATCATTCTGGATGAGAAGCGACATTAGCAAGAGATGTAGCAATACCAACCAGCCTCATGCTCTCGCTGTAATCCACTATGAAGAATCTGACAAGTCCACACCAACATCACAAGCTACAGTTTACAATGAGACGAGTTGCTCAAACGACCCTCTTAATATGACGAAGCCTGTTTTTGTTACGGCGCCTCCTCCTGAGCCTGACTTTACACAGATAGTCGACATTGACTTCCAAACTAATGCCACAGGCAGTGAATTGTGGACCATAAACAACCAGTCTTTCCGAGCTAACTTTGAGTGAGTTAACCCCCCCCTATTCCACACCCTACAGTCCACCTACTCACTCACTCCTCACAACTCCTAACACAAAATCTCAGCCACCCGATACTCCTCCTCGCAAAGCTAGGAAACACCTCCTACCCTGATGACCCTCAATGGAACGTCTACAACTTTGGTAATAGCACCTCGATCCGCCTCATCCTGCGCAACGGAATCCCCATTATGCATCCTATGCACCTCCACGGCCATAGCTTCTGGGTCATCGCTGAGGGGGTGGGGGAATGGGATGGAGTCATCACGCGACCCGAGAACCCGCAGCGAAGGGACACACAGATCATCGATTGGGGGTATCCTAGTCCGGGCAAACCGAGTTATGTGGTGATTGATTTCTTGGCCGATAATCCGGGGGTGTGGCCGTTCCATTGTCATGTCGCTTGGCATGTTAGTGATGGGCTGTCTATGAACGTTATGGTGAGTTATAAGCACTATTCCTTGCTAAACAACTCTTTATTTTGTCGCTTTGTACGAATGGATGGCGCGAACTTGGCTGATAAAGAGAACGTAGGAACGCCCTGATTTGATCACCGAGCGCCAAATCCCATCGATCATGGCGCAGACCTGTCGAGACTGGTGGCAATATAGTGGGCATAACGTCGTTGATGAGATAGATTCCGGGATATAAATACGGTTTAACTCATATTGGCTACCAATGGACCGGAGCCCTCGTTATAGCCGAGGCCTAATTTTCTAAACGTCAAATCCGCACTTTGCAGATTAAAATTCTCATTGATATGCATAGCATGAAGTCTAAATGTCGCGATTGTTTATTGCGGGTCCTAAACCACAGGGCTGCTAATGTGAACAAACTAACAAGGTAACATCGCGATAGGTTTTCAAAGCACAACACCTCGTCTTCATCGTCAAATTATGTATGCGATCTGTAGAAGAAAGAGTCATCACCCTACATGTTCCGGAGCACGGTTATGGAACAAGACCTCTGATTTATGCCCGTAACTCCTCCCAAACCCGAATAAACCATCATATAGGACCTGGCAACCCACATAAGAGAACATAAAGGAACTATACATTAATCGGTTCATTTTGAATTCCATCCTCCTTTTCGGCCGCTTCCCACATCGCGACAATGCTTTCTCCCTTCATCTCGTCCCTCAAGGTCAAGTCGAACGAAAATTTTGCTGGCTTGGAAATCAGCAGATTGGAGTATTCAATATCATTGATAGGGATCTCCTGTCCGTTCTCATCTATTTTCTTCCTCAGGTTGAATGCCCAGGCGATGGCACCGCAGACAAGAAATAGCTCGTGGTTGACGATGTCGACTCCCATACAGGTCCGGCGGCCATACCCAAATTGTGAGTGCCCTTCGAGCTTTGGGTGGATGGTGAGAGGCTCGCGGTATGTAGGGTAAGAGGGATTCAGCCATCGGTCGGGAAGGAAGGTGTTTGCCATTGGGTAAATACTTGGTTCCCGGGTGAGGCCCCTAGCTTCAAGTCAGCATGACCATCTTCACCAAGTTTAAACTGGCACGTATTCCTACCATTCAAATGCGTGGATAGTAGAGCCAGCGGGGATGAAGTAGCCTTGGTACACATAGTCCTTAGTCGAAGCATGTGGGATTCCTGCGAAATGGTTAGTCAAGTAACGGTCAGACATTGTAGGATATTGCGACAAACCAGTAGGAACCGGTGGTCTCCACCTCAGCACCTCTTTCACAACGGCTCGCAAAACGGGCAGATTCTCCATGTCAGTCATTGCAGGCAATCTATCGCCACATACCCGATCGAGTTCTTCCTGCGTCTTCGCAAGCCATTCAGGTGATTGAACCATCGCGAGAACAAAACTCATCATCGGACTAGCTATGGTCAAGGCTCCAGCAATAGCCATCATGCCGACTTGGTAAGCACCTTCAACGTAGCTAGTTTGGAACTTCTCCTGCGACTCAAGGAACAGGCGCATGTAAGATGGCTTGGCTGTACCTGCAAGCCATTCTTTGCGGACCTTCGACATCTGGTTGAGGAAGAACTCCCTCTCGAAGGCATATCGCTGCTTTTCGTACCTCTTCCATGGAGATAGGCATTCTGGGAGTGCAGCGAGAGGTGAGATTACATTAGGGAGAGCTCCTGCTGGCGAAATCACACTCAACAGAGCCATAGTCACTTGTTGCAGAGTCAGATAACAATCTGGCGAGCCCCACGCTAAACGGGAGATATTCCGACTGGTGTGGTCCTCGAGGAGGCTTCTGTAGGACTCTGGCGCGAGGAGAAGCTTGTACAAGAGGCGCTTAGACTCGATGACCGGATAGTGGTATTGAGCATTCTTTGAGCTTGTTGTCATGAGAAGATGTCCAAACTTCCGCTGGTGCTTCCAGATCTCTAGATTAGAACAAGTTATCATTTTATCCAGTACCTGACAAAGACGGAACTGTCTAGCCTACCATTTTCCCCCAAGAGAGGGAGGTACTCTCCGCCCGTCTTGTTGATAGGAAGATTATCTATCAGTGGTCGGTCGGAGAATATGGACCCTTGTTTCGAAAGCAAGTCCTTCGCGATTTGCTCTGAGGAAATCCAGACATGGGTCGAGCCGAAGAGCTCGTGCTTGTAGATGGGGCCTGATTCTTTCGCCCATTTGTAGAACCCAAGCCACGTTCTTTCTTTTGGGATATCGTGAACACGGCCAATAAACCACATGCCTGCGGATCCAGTAAGTACATATATTATTGTTTATTACTGCAGAGAAATGATGCGTACTCCATGGTCCTGGAAGTTTTCGAGCTCCCGCTGGCATACGACGATAAGGATCATGCCACCATCTATGAGCTGCTACGGCGCATGGAAGTATCACAACCAACAGTACGATTAGAAGTAAACCCATAGTAGCTTTCAGTAAGTGGGGAAATCAACTGCAGAATTTAGGCGCTGCAGAAGAGGCTTTGCGACTACAGAAACTCAACGCGAGACTATACGACCGAGGTGAATTGAAGTTTAACAGCTGCAGGTCAGCCTGAATGCTAGGATTAGGTCAAAATGACGTGATATTAAACAGCCCGGACAAAATATGACACACGACTAGTGAGGGTTTTTTTTGGGTGGTCTATGTGATATCAAAATTCCCACTATCCCCGACGGAAGTCCGGTGGGGAAAATCCTCGGAAAACCTGCTGGGAATAGGGATTGTTAGGGATGATCTCATCCCTTTTATCACTTCGTGTATGTTCCGGCCCAACCGTGAACCGAGCCAGTTCGTAAGCGGGCCAGCCCAGGCCTCGCTTCGAACTTTGGTACGACGGACTCCCGATCTTGCATTTCTTAGTATGGAAACCAATACCCCGCAAACTTCTGTGAGTAAGGCGCTACTCAGGACGGAACTCACAGCCATTTACTTAGCTTACTTGCGCTCTTTATGCTATAGAAATAGCCATCTATGCTAGGACTCGAGGGTAGGCTATATTACTGAAAAGCTAAAATTCTAAGGCGGAAAGTGGCAGAGCAGAAGAAGTAGCAACTGGTCCACCTAGATGTTAGAGGCAAGCTTGCTCCTAATGCGTAAAAGCTATGACCTCGAGAGCCGAGCTTCGGCCCTAGAAGCTCCACGCTAAGAGGCCAAGTAGCCCGCAATGCAGCTAACCAGGTCCACGAGCAGCTTCCAGGGCTGCATTTTAGGCTCGGAAGTGCGGCCCTCTGGAAAAGAGTGTAGCAGCTCGCCAAAAGCCAGCTGCCCGATTTTTTAGAAGAACAGAACCAGTTTCCGGACTCAGAAGCCGGATGAGAGAGGTAGCGAGAATCGGCGCGAAGGTGACCGAGGATGGGGGTGGGGCGACGAAGTGAACCTTATTGTAGCTTACCCTTATATACAAATTACTATAAAAAGGTGCTTACTTTACCTCTTCATTGGCCACGGGGGTTATCTGGTATAGAATATTAAAGAAGTTCCTTAATATTTCAATTGACATTGCGACCTCACACACATGGCATGAATAATGACGTTAGCTCATTTGTGGCTCTCCGTGTCCTTTCGGACCTGCATGGGGATGTCCACGAAGTCTGCCGGATCCTCTAAGCCTTTTTGAATCATCAACAGGAAAAATTTCGGGTTCCTGTAATGCAAATCAAAGGACTGATGTCTTCTCTCTTTAAGCTCTAGATGATGGCTGTTGTATCAATTCGTAGCTATAGCTTCGGTCTTCGGCCGCTGTCCATGCGTTTCCTAATGTCCATTTGGTATTGATCTTCATGTTGTGTCCTGACGTGTAAACAGCTTCCCTAATGGGTAGAGGCCGGAGAATTACAATGTCTCTTTTTCATGTGTGAGTTGATTTCCGTTATGGCTCGATTGAGCTTGAGAGCTTCTTTCACCAGCATTGTGGCTTTCAATAGATGGCAATAACGAAACTACCAAAGCCTCGCAAGGCAATTTTGGATCTAATGTACTACGTATATGAAGATATAGACCTGAATCAGCGCTCGGCGACCGATAGGATTGATGCGCTAAATGTGACTAAAAGTATAATGGAAGTATTGCCATGTCGGGTAAAGCACTTCCTCTGCTCTTTATAAGCCTAAAAGCACCCCCGAACCCTGCGTTCCATATTATTCTTACTGATGTCCAACTGGTGCTCAAGATGGTCGAGAAAATATCCTTTCTTCTCTTTGGAGAACAGTCTCTGGACACACAGGGGTTTCTTGCAGACTTTTGCCGTAATGGAAATCCTAGTGTTCTTTCACATGCTTTCCTCAATCGCGTTGCTTCTACTCTTCAAAATGAGATCGAACGTCTCCCTTCTCTAGAACGTCGACACATACCACCTTTCACTACCATCGAAGAACTTAGTCAGAGATATCATACCAGGGATGTTACACATTCTGCAATAGACAGTGCTCTTCTTGTTACTACACAACTCGCTCACTATATCGAGTACGTGCTCACTACGATCTTTCTCCTATATGATGCTTATGATACTTTAGTCGAGCAGAAAAGGTTCCGGAAGATGCTACAAGTCCACAGGAAACATGGGCAGTTGGCCTCTGCACCGGGCTTTTTGCCGCCGTTGCGGTTTCCATTGCACCGTCTCTCTCGGCTCTTGTAAACATTGGCGCCGAATTTGTACTTTTAGCCTTCCGAACAGGACGACATGTTTCTGCTCTTGCAGAGAACATACATGAATCTGGCGATGCTGCCAAGAGCTGGACTTATGTTGTTCCGGGACTTAATGAATCAGCTGCAAGGTCCCTACTTGCTGATTTTAACGAGTCGAAGGTGAGTTATCACTAGATACAAACAAAGATTGGAGACTTAACTTTGCTAGGGCTACACAACGACCAGTCAAGCATATATCAGCGCCATCACTTCAACGAGCATAGCTTTTAGCGGTCCACCACCCACGTTAAAGGCGCTTGTCGATGAGCATGAGTTTAAAGATGGGCCACTACCACTACCTATCAATGGGCCGTATCACGCATCACACCTATATTCCGCCGCTGAAATTGAGATAGTTTTGCGACTTAACGATTCTAACCTAAGCGAAGTTCTCAAAAATGCATCTCCACGATTCCCTGTCATTTCATGCTCAACAGGGCAGTGGCTTGCGGAAAAAGATCCTAAAAAGCTTATCACAACAGTTATTCGAGACATTCTTCTGGAGCCACTAGATTTTCGGCGGGTCTTAGC